AAAAAACAATAATATCAAAACAGATTATTACTACTAACTTTATTGTGAAATTAAAACAGAACGGTAAAAGAATAGTTTCCGGTCTATTCTGATGCCCGATCTCTGTAGATAAATAAAGAACTACGATAGATGTGTAATATTTAATGCAGCCAAACCATTTATTACAATGCATTAATGTGATGACTTTCAAAGAGTAAAGCAAGCACTGCTGAATAAAGTATGATTTATCTTTTACGAAACGTTTTTTTTCATATGGAATGCAGTTGGAGGTCAACCAATCACAGAGCTTGAGGACTGATCACGGGGTTTGTCAAACAGAGCACATGGTGTAGTCCCAAACGATAGCTGAGGATTCTGGGTAGTGTAGTGTCTTCTGCCATCCAAAAACTCCGAACAAATATTCGTTTCTCCGAATCGAAGGGGAAAATACAAAAGCATTGTACACAATTTAAACCAATCAATGTTGTGTAATTAACAAGGATAATCTGGTGTTTTTGAGTTGATGAGTAGTTCAGATATCACTGTAAAATCAATCGACAGTAAGGAGAATACTTACTTCCGGGTGTAAAATTATCCGTTATCCAATGGGAATGGATGCTCGTAATACAATAAAGGGGACATGATCATTATCTTTTAAATAACGTTAACTAAAGGGAACAATCTATTGACACAGCTGAAGCTCTGGCCTTCCTTAAAAACTAACTAATTTAATAAAAATCACAGTTGTATTACACACAATGCACTGTTTTTTGAGAACAAAAATGTGTGACTAATGCACCATAATACATTCTGACGACAAATAAAAATTATTATGAATACAAATAAAATAAAAGAAGCCTCCTGTGAGTTACTACAAGCTATAAAGTAGATTTACATTTTTATAGAATAAAAGCTCACTGCGGGACGTTGTAGAAATGCGTGTGTGCACCACGACAAAAGAGCCTTATTCACTTTACATTGGGGTTTTTTGCGTGGTGCCGACACGTAAATGTAGCAGAATGCGTGACTCCACCACGCAATGCGGTGTTAAGGTTGCGTGGTGGAGTCACGCATTCTGGTGAGATCAGGTTGTATCAAAGATGTTCTATTGAGAAGACGATCACTACATGATACAAGTTTTCAAATCCGTTTCTGGTCTTCGGTATTTCCAGACAAGTGGCTACTGAAATCAATCTTACTAACTGCTGTCTGTGCAATTCTCGGCGCGAGTTGGCGGACTTTATTTTGCTTACTTTAACATAATGTTTCATGGTGGGGCTAAGCCATTTCTTGGTATGGGTGTAGCCTACCCCAGCCATACCCTGGCGCTGCCACTCGTGGGATGTATGGGGCGGGCCATTCTGCACATCCGACTCCGGAGGTGGCGGTATGCACCTTAAAGTCGTTTGCAATCCGCCCAAAAACCGAGAGAAGAAGAAGATGCCGACTCCGAGCTGTCCGACTTCAGGCGAGCTTTTTGAGACCTCCCCCGGGTTAGGGGATTTTACAGCATTTTACACCGGGCGATCGGCTATTCTCGTCTACTTTCGAGGTGAGCCGCAGCTCGTCTCAAACAAGCCTAACGAGAAGCATGGCTGCAAGTGGGAGTGCAACTGCCGCTGCGCCTCGGCTTGTTGACAAAAAAGACGCCAGAAGCGAAATTTGGAAGTATTTGAGCTATATCTCTGACAGTGAGGGCAAGCCTACGGACACCACGAGGCCTGTCTGTAAGAAATGTATTAATTTTATTTAATACGAATTCTTGTCATTTATTTAATTTATTGTTCTCATTGTTTAAAAGTTTGTGTTATGGTTATGGTGTGAAATAAAGCACAATAATTACATTTAAGACTTTTTCCCTTTTTTTAAGTAAAGTATCGAAAAAGAATCGGAATCGCAATTCTTGATTTGGTATCGGTATCGAAACCAAAATGTTGGTATCGTGACAACACTAATTCGGATTATCTAAAGTACTGCAGTCTCTTCTAAATCCTTTTGAATTCTCCTATCGTCTATCCCTTAACCCCGTGACGTTTCATCAGAGGTCAAGGAATAGACGATAGGGATAGACATTAGGAGCTGATTTTTTGATTATCCGACCGCAACCTATGGTTAGAGCACAACCAGGGCCGTATCCAGGATTTCCTAAATACCGAGGTCCAAACATGCTAGGGGGGTTTGGGGGATACCCCCCGAGATTTTTGGGATTTTCATGATCTAGTTATGGTGCTTTTTAAGTCCTATGGGGGGTCACAAATTGGATAATATATCGATTTCAAACCATGTCAGTGGGCTGACAATGTCAGCATCAATTATTTTGAAAGTGTAATACATAATAAGAATCAGTTGATTGTTACTATTAATGATCTGGACATGCAGAAGAGGCTAAAATGATCACAAAACATTGTCAACATCAGTGGCGAGCCGTGACTTTTATACCTAGGCCCTCTGACCCCCACCCCTTCCCTCGAGTTATTACGTCACAGCGTATACTTCAGCGGAATATCAAAACAACGGCCCGGGGTGCAAAACGCATCAATGAAAGCGACCCTCTACCACACAAAACAACACCTGTAAATAACCCTATTTGTGTTCTTTGAAATTGAAAAGGATATTGCATTGTGTTTGTTACTTTCGTTGCAGTTGTATGTCTTAAGTGTAATTTGGCATGCTTTTATTTTGAAGGCGAGTTAACGCTGTTGACAGGAAGTTGTTGTTGCTATGGAAACAAGAAACGTTTCACAGCGGGCGGAACTTGTCATAAAGTCCGTGATAATAACACCCACCCATTTAGCGGGAAGATATGATTGGTCAATTGTACTGTCATTTGACATTACTCTCTCGTTCAGTTACTATAGCGGGGCCTTCTGTGAATTCATAGCTGGACCGCCTGGACGTCCAACAGCTCCTCTCTTCACAGTAACTTGCAGAGACGAGCTTCTTTCATTTAACTCTTCACATTCCAACATAAACTGAATAGGCAGATTCGAAGGATTTATTTCTTTGGAAATGTTATTTTAATTACAATGAAATCAAGTTATTTTGGTAAAACTAATGAAAAATATAACTATAAAAATATATATAATTTGTTTTAATGTTTTTAAATATTATTTTGTAGAATATCTTAGGCCCTCACAGAGGGCCCTGACGGCTCGCCACTGGTCAACATTCATTTTCCATGTCTCTCTCCTTTCCATAACCTACAGCCTCTCTTCCATCTTCTTGAGTCTCTCTGTCTTCTTCCTGTTCATTACTCTCTCTGTCCTCTACGCTTTCTCTTTGTTCAATCTCTCCCTCGTTGTTCACTTTTTGCTCCTCTTCACTTGTCGCTCCTGCCAGTGAATCAAAAGCAATTCAGCAATTTAGTTCATTTCACTTGTTTGTTTGCATTCTTTTTTTATTTAAATCTGTTTTGTTTGATTCTCAAAAGAGAACAAAGATGTAAGCAAATTGTGTTTTATACAATTGTATGTTATTATGACATCATAACTGCAATAGATGTATGTTTTAAAATTATGCCTATTGTAAATGAAGACTATTGTTATAGATAAATAGATAGATATGGGGTTGTTAAGCCTACATTATTTTTGTGTGACTATACCTGCAGTTCCTCCCTGACTTCCATCCCTTTCACTCTCTCTATTTCTCTCTGCCTGTCCTGTCTCTTCCTTACCAAAGCTGAGCTTTGACTGACGTAGTCTTTTCATTATATCTGAGTCAGTGTAAAAAGAAAACAATACAATGTTATATCTTCAATGTTTTACTCAAATTGAAATAAAAGAAAAGCATTACAACGTTTGTTAAAAGGTAATCCTTCTGACATTGGATGAATGTAATTAACTTTAGCTCTCTAGCTAGTTTATTCACGCAATTTAAACCAAAGTATAGCCTATATCTGCAATATAAGTTAGTGTGCATGTTGTCGGACGTCCACTGACTAACGTAGAGCGTTCACACAGGATCTGCTGCTCATATGATGTCCTGATGAACAGAAACACAAGTAGCCCGCTGGACTCAGATTTCTAGATACCTCATCACTCCTCCGCTGCTCCGGTACAAGTCCGGGCTGCGGTGATTTGTTGATACATGTCGTCTTCGTCTGTTTGCTTTAATCGAGGCTACGTAGTTATGCAGCGCCCCCATGGTCAGTAAATGGAAGTACTACAAAGAACCCCGTTTAGTGTAATTATTTCACAAGTTTTGTTATACACAGCTCGGAAAATATTACCGAGGTCCGGACCTCGGTGACCTCAATGGTAGATACGGCCATGAGCACAACCACGGCGGAATATTACTGCCAAAAGTCACGTGAGTGAGTCACGTGACTTTTGGCAGTAATATTCCGCCGTGAGAAGAAAATGTTTTGTACTTGTAAAAAAAAGTTGTGTACTTGTAAAACCTATGCTGAATTGGTCTCTGAAACATGATTTATTAGAAAAATGTTTTGTGTTTGTTTGATAGATACGTTTTTTCTTTGCAAAACTAAATGCATTAGTTTGTAGATGGTGTTTTGTATTTGCAAACCACATTGTGTTTGTTAGTGAATCATGAGGCATTTGTAAAACCTGTTTAGTTTGTTTGTGGAGTTATGGCAGGAAATTAGCTCCATATAAACGGCAATTTATCGGCGTCAGAAAAGTTATCGAGTTCATTTTTATTTATTGTACTATAAGTCAATTAATTGCTTATCGCGACAGGCCTACCTACAATACACCTAGAATATTGATTGGAGAAAATGTTGAGTCATAAAATAAAAAGATCTACATTTTAAAATGTTTGTTCAGCATAAGCAACATATGTGGGAAAATGCAAATTCTAATGATATCTGCTATTGGAGTGAATTATCCAGTGTAAGTTTAAAATTAGGTTTTAAATCTGGTGCACTCAATATACTCAAACACAGAGGTACAACATAAATGTAAGCATTTTAAGCATGAACAGATGTGAAACTCTATAATATCAGGTTTCACCACAACTCGTAAAAATCACAGCGCAGAAGTAAAAAAGAAAAGTTGTCTGACCTCAGAGTCTCCAGTTTACAGTGTGGATTCTGTAGAAAATCACAGAGCAGCTTTACTGCCGTGTCCTGCAGCTTGTTTCCTCTCAGGTCCAGCTCTCTGAGATTAGAGGGGTTGGACTTCAGAGCTGAGGCCAGAGAAGTACAGCTGCCCCCTGACAAACTGCAAGAACTCAACCTGGAAAACGAATAAAAGAAGAAGAAAGAAAATCCATTTATAATCCAATATATCCAGAGCTGATCAGGTTTAAATTGTGTTGTTCAAGGGTTTCCTGCAGCATGGTATATAGTACTGCAGACAGCTGTAACAATCTTTCACAAGTGAACACAAGAACCAAAATGTCCATGTCCATCCCTTTGGAGTCATTTATTTACAAAAGCACGTTAGCCACTTTAATTTCCAAAATTACGACCATCTTCCAAGATGGCTGCATCTAAATAACAATACATTGGTTAAAAGCCAAATTCAGAGCACCATCCGAGCGATATTTGATCTAATATGTCCTGGCATCAGTAGATACATCATGCCCTCTTTATATATACACTTACTCCTGGCACTGAAACTAAAATACTACCTCTACTACTACACACCCCAAAATACCTCTTCCACCTCGATTACCGTGCCTTTTAAGCTACCCAGTTATCCATTGGATATTTGAGTGGCTAATTTAAAAAGTGGAATATGCCCCCATATCAGGTAACGGGGTTAACAGCTTAGTTAAAAAGCTTGGTATTTTGTGTTTTTCACATTTAGTTTCATTAACCCAAAAATGGATTGCCTGCGGGCCCACCACCTACGGGAAACAGTGATGGGGTCGGGTGCGCTGCCAGAAGAGTGGCATTGAAAGCAGAGGGTCTCAACAGATCAGACCCAGGCGGCAGAAGCTGGCTTTGGGGACGTGGAACCTCACCTCTCTGGGGTATCACAATCCTGATGTCATGTCACGTTTTTAGTTTAGTCTGTCTTGTTTTGGGTGTTATTTTGCTGTTCTGTTCCCACCTGTGTCTGTGTCCAGTTTCCCTGGTGTGTCTAGTTGTCTGATTGTGTTCACCTGTTGCCCTTGTGTTTCTCCTCCCCTGCCCGACTGTTTCTCGTCTCGTGATTACCCCTCCCTGTATTTAGTGTTGTCTCTTCCTGTGTTCCCCTATCGGTTCATTGTTTGTTTGTCCTCCCTTCACGTCACACTTCTTGGTTGTCTCTCCGGTCTTCCTCCATGTTTCTCACGGTCAGTTTTTGTGTAGTTGTTTTCTGTTACCGTTTCAAGTTATGCCATGTTTTCTTTACCAGCTTTTAAATAAAGCTCGCTTTTTGTTTCAAGACCTTTTTCCGTTTTTTGTAGTCTGCATTTGGGTCCTACCTTTTCCACGCACCCTGACATGGGGGGGAAGAAGCCGGAGCTTGTGCGGGAGGTGGAGCAGTACCAGTTGGATCTGGTTGGGCTCACCTCAACGCACAGCGTCGGCTCTGGAACCATACTTCTTGATAGCGGTTGGACTCTATTCTTCTCCGGAGTTGCCCAAAGTGTGAGGCGCCGGGCGGGTGTTGGGATACTCACAAGCCCCCGGTTGGGTGCCGCTTTGTTGGAGTGTCCCCAGTGGACGAGAGGGTCGCCTCCCTACGCCTGCGGGTTATGGGGGGGGAAAGACCTGACTGTTGTGTGTGCTTATGCACCAAACAGCAGTTCAGAGTATACCGCCTTCTTGGAGACCCTGAAAAGAGTCCTGGCTCCTGAAGGGAACTCCTTAGTCTTGCTGGGAGACTTCAACGCACATGTGGGCAATGATGGAGACACCTGGAGTGGCGTGATTGGGAGGAACGACCCCCCTGATCTGAACCGGAGTGGTGGTTTGTTACTGGACTTCTGCGCTAGTCATGGATTGGCCTTAACAAACACCATGTTCGAACATAAGAATGCTCATAAGTGTACATGGTACGAGAGCACCCTAGGCAGAAGGTCCATGATCGATTTCGTTATCGTATCATCAGACCTGAGGCCGTATGTTTTGGACACTCGGGTAAAGAGAGGAGCGGAGTTGTCAACTGATCACCATCTGGTGGTGAGTTGGGTCGAGTGGCAGGGGAAGCCTTTGGACAGACCGGAAAAGCACAAACTTGTGGTGCGGGTGAACTGGGAACGTCTGGAGGAGTCCCAACTGATGCAATACGGAATATATGTAGATAGATAGAGACGGGGTACTGACCTCAGAGCCTTCAGTCTACAGTGTGGACTCTCCAGAAAGTCACAGAGCAGCTGCACTCCTGAATCCTGCAGGTTATGGTTGTAGCTCAGCTCCAGCTCTCTCAGGTGGGGGGGGTTGGACTTCAGAGCAGAGGCCAGAGCAACACAGCTGGTCTCTGATAACCTGCAGGAACTCAGTCTGGAAAAATAATATACAGTACAGTTGTGTATAGTTACAGTATGAACCCAAGCTTTTCCCCTTTGTTGAATGATTGTCATTCATGTGGATCATTATAACATCACCGTTGTACAGACACCATCTAATGTATGATATGGTTAATTTAAATAATTTGAATCTTTTAGCGTGCCAGACAGGCTGTGCTAACTATCTTTAGTTTTTTCCCTCCTCCTCTTCTCTTTTTTCTTTCTCCTCCCCGATTCCCTTTGTGATGGGAGGTTGAGGAAGATGAGTTTGGTGTACTTTTTATATACCCTTATCACGTGGTTGAACTTTGTTTGGGAATGATAGGTTTATTGAATGTTGCCAGCCCTGTGAATCTTTCAGGAGCATCTTAGTATAAAAAGTAGTGAGGGCTTGTGTTTGTGTTATGTTTAAAAACGTCAGAATTAGCTTACTATGCCTTGTTAAGTTATATGTGTTTATCACAATCATCTTGCCCTCCCTCTCCTTTTAAATTACATATATCCTGATGAAGATCTCCACCATGTCACATGGCTATGTGAAAACAAAAGCAGCACGAGACTGACCGCAGCAGAAACTGACCTCAGACTCTGGAGTCTACAGTGTGGACTGTCCAGTCCAGTGGACAGCAGCTCCACCGCTGAGTCCTTCAGACTGTTGTTGCTCAGGTCCAGTTCTTTCAGGTGGGAGGGATCGGACTTCAGGGCTGAGGCCACAACTTCAAAGTGAGGGTCTGAAAGCCCAGAGTTCTGAAGTCTGTGAATACATGTCAAATTCTTCATAGTCATAGTATTATAAATGAACGAGGAAAAAACGTTTCATAAAGCAGTTGTTAACAATGGATACTGAATCCCTGTATTTATTTATAGATCAATGCAGGCTGCTTCAATTTAAAAGACTATTCTAAAATATAGAGTTATTTGGACACTAATAAATGTTGTGATGTGTTAGATAATATTAGACTATAATTATTAAAAGTTATTAAGGACAATGATTATGTTTGTGGTGCATCCATCATGCTGAGCTAAGCATATTAGGATCATTACCCATGTACAACAACTTTCTTACTTGCTGGTACTAGGCAGAATTAGGATGTTGTTGAGGGGAAAAAGCTTACTTAAAGTGGACCTATTATGCTATATTGGAAAAATATATTGTAGGGCCATACCTATACAAAACATGTCTGTGAAGTGTTTTGCTTAAAATACCGAACAGTTCACCCGTTGTAGCCATGCCTCATACTGCTCAAACCTCTCTTTTGCAGCCCTGTTAGAGAAAGGCAGATTTTGGGTCCTTAGCTTGAAAAAAAAAAGAGGAGGCGTAGCTAATAACTGAATTATACCGGAGATAAAGTTAAATTCTGCTCCTGTGATAAAACGCCATCCTGTTCTAAACCACATCAAGGATTATTTCTGAAACAGTATGGAGCTCAAATGCTTTTTCTCTTGCGGGTTTATCACAAGGTGAGTTCTTTTTTTATTTCCTGCTTTTTAAACACATGTGCTCTACAGTACAGGTTTGCTCTGAGTGTTAGCGAGGCTTGCTAATGTAAACATTATTACATTACATTGCATTTAGCTGACGCTTTTATCCAAAGCGACTACAATAAGTGCATTCGACCAGGAAGACACAAACTTGAAGAAAACAGAATCATATAAGTACATCAGGTTTCATAGAGCCAACATTTCACATGCTACTCAACTGGCTTTAGATAAGCCAGTCCTTTATTAGTATATAAGTGCTTTGTTAATAATTATATCGCTCGAGGTGGAGTCGAAAGAGATGAGTTTTCAGTCTGCGCCGGAAGGTGTGTAAGCTTTCTGCTGTCCTGATGTCAATGGGGAGCTCATTCCACCATCCTGGAGCCAGGACAGCAAACCCACGTGTTTTTGCTGATGGGAACTTGGGTCCCCCTCGCAGCGAGGGTGCAGCGAGTCGTTTGGCTGATGCAGAGCGTAGTGCACGCGCTGGGGTGTACGGTTTAACCATGTCCTGGATGTACGAAGGGCCAGATCCATTCGCAGCATGGTAAGCAAGTACCAGTGTCTTGAAGTGGATTCTAGCAGTTACAAACAAAGACGAGATTACGTCCAAAACACGTCAGGCATTGTGTCTGATAGCAACTTTCTGTGGGTCTGCAGAAGTATTGTATAAAAGACATTAACAAGTGCATTTTGCATGATAGGTCCCCTTTAAAGGCTTATTATCTGTAGTATAGTTAAATAATGCATTAATAAGTGCTCTTTATTGACTAAGGGATTCTGAGAGATTGCTGAAGTTACATAAATGTTCCGCGATGTCAGAGGGATTGATCATTTTTTAAATACTATTCATATTATCATTAAAATAATATGTTAAAATGATCAAGGTGTGATTTTTATTTTTTTAAATCAGGAGCAAACAAAGTTTTTCATAAAGTTTGTAGAATATGGTTTGTAGGCTGGGCAGCGCCAGAATTATATTGCCACATATTTACTCTTTAGAAAATATAGCTCTGCTTTGCATTGAAAGGCTCAACCCTAGAGAAAGAATACGCTTAAACGGTAAGATTGAGGATCAATAAGATTATTGTTGTTTTTTTTCAATAATAACACATGTACTTACACAGCCTTCCTGCACTTCCTGACAGCTGGCAGCAGTCTCAGTTGTCCCTGGTCTGATGTGTTGTACTTCTTCAGGTCCAACTCATCCAGAACCTCCTCTGACATCTGCAGCATGTAGGCCAGCGCTGAGCAGTGGATCTCAGAGAGCATCTTCTCTGATCTGTTGCCTGACTTCAGGAACTCTTGTATATCCTGATGTACCGATTGGTCGTTCATCTCCATCAGACAGTGGAACATGTTGATGCTTCGGTCGGGGGAGATTTCCTCCATGTTCGTCTCCTTCAGGTTGTTGATGACACTCTGGATGATTTGCGGACTGTTTTGTTTCAGACCCAGCAGGCCTCCTAAGGACTTCTGGTTGGACTCCAGAGAGAGACCATGAAGGAAGCGGACAAACAGGTCCAGGTGGCCATTTTTACTCTTTAGAGATTTTTTCATGGCTCTACTCAAGAACACTGTCAAAGGAGAGTTAATGTCATAACATTTTAAAGAATCAGAGGAGTCCAGCCTATCATAATCCTCTTTATCATCGTCCGAGTTTTCACTTCTATCATCATGTCTGTCATGTTCATCAGCAGAATCATCTTCATCATAATCTTTTCCTCCTTCATCATCATCGTCATCTTGTCCTTCTTCATCATCGGTGTACCCAGTATGGACCGCTGAGTTATAACCATCTTTTCCCTCTTCTTCTTCTTCTTCTTCTTCTTCTTCTTCTTCTTCTTCTTCTTCTTCTTCTTCTTCTTCTATCATCATCATCATCATCATCATCATCATCATCATCATCATCATCATCATCATCATCATCATCATCATCATCATCATCATCATCATCATCATCATCATCATCATCATCATCATCATCATCATCATCATCATCATCATCATCATCATCATCATCATCATCATCATCATCATCGTCATCTTGTCCTTCTTCATCATCGGTGTACCCAGTATGGCCCGCTGAGTTTATAACCATCTTTTCCCTCTTCTTCTTCATCATCATCATCATCATCATCATCATCATCATCGTCATCTTGTCCTTCTTCATCATCGGTGTACCCAGTATGGCCCGCTGAGTTATAACCATCTTTTCCCTCTTCTTCTTCATCATCATCATCATCATCATCATCATCATCATCGTCATCTTGTCCTTCATCATCGGTGTACCCAGTATGGCCCGCTGAGTTATAACCATCTTTTTCCTCTTCATCAGTGTCATCTTCATGTTTTGCCAGGGAGGAGTTTTGTTCTGCCGGAGAGGAGTTTTGTTTGCCAGGGAGGAGTTTTGTTCTGCCAGGGAGGAGTTTTGTTCTGCCAGGTAGGAGTTTTGTTCTGCCGGAGAGGAGTTTTGTTCTGCCGGAGAGGAGTTTTGTTCTGCCAGGGAGGAGTTTTGTTCTGCCAGGGAGGAGTTTTGTTCTGCCAGGGAGGAGTTTTGTTCTGCCGGAGAGGAGTTTTGTTCTGCCAGGGAGGAGTTTTGTTCTGCCGGAGAGGAGTTTTGTTCTGCCATGAAAGCTTCCAGTACCTCTGAGTTTTTGTTGGTGTAACAGTGGTACAAGTAGACTGCAGCCAGAAACTCCTGAATGCTCAGATGAACAAAGCAGTAGACGGCTTTCTTGAAGATCACACTCTCTCTTTTGAAGATCTCTGTACAAACTCCGGAGAACACCAAGGCCTCTGTGACATCAAGACCACACTGCTTCAAGTCTTCTTCATAGAACATGATGTTGCCTTTCTCCAGATGTTCAAATGCTAGCCTCCCCAGCTTCAGGAGAACTTCCACGTCAGCCTTCGTCAGTTCCTGCGGACTCTCCTCTTGTTCCTCTTCATACTTCTGCTTCTTCCTCTTTGTCTGAACCAGCAGGAAGTGTGCATACATGTTAGTCAGGGTCTTGGGCAGTTCCTCTTTCTGGTCCATGGTCAACATGTGCTCCAGAACTGCAGCAGTGATCCAGCAGAAGACTGGGATCAGACACATGATGTGGAGGCTCCTGGAGGTCTTGATGTGAGAAATTATTACATTGCATGTTTCTTCATCACTGAATCTCCTCATGAAGTACTCTTCCTTCTGGGCGTCAGTGAAACCTCTGACTTCTGTTATTCTGTCAACAAATACTGGAGGGATCTGATTGGCTGCTGCTGGTCGGGTAGTTATCCAGACAAGAGCCGAGGGAAGCAGCTCCCCTCTGATGAGATTTGTCAACAGCACGTTGACTGATGACTTCTGCGTGACATCGGACACAACCTCGTTGTTTTTGAAATCCAGAGAAAGTCTGCTTTCATCCAGGCCGTCAAAGATGAACAAAACTTTAGAGACAGCGAGGAGCTCTGCTGTGACCTTCTGTAAGGTTGGATGGAAAACATGGATCAGCCTGAGAAGACTGTACTGCTCATTTTTGATCAAGTTCAGCTCCCTGAAGGAAAGCAGAATCACCAGATCGACATCTTGGTTTTCCAAACCTTCTGCCCAGTCCAGAGTGAACTTCTGCACTGAGAAGGTTTTACCAATGCCAGCGACGCCGACAGTCAGAACCACTCTGATGTAGTCCTCTTTGTCAGCTAAGGCTTTAAAGATGTCGTGTACCTTGATAGGATTGTCATTGGCAGTCTCCATCTTGGACGCTGTCTCAAGCTGCCACACCTCATGTTGGGCATTAACCTCTTCACTCTGCCCCTCTGTGATGTAGAGCTCAGTGTAGATCCTGTTAAGTGGCGTGAGACTTCCTGTTTTATCAGTTCCTTCAGTCACACATTCAAATCTCTTCCTCTGGCTGATCTTATGTTCATCTAAAACGTCCTGCAGACCACCATCTGAAGAAAGATAAGGAAAGTCACTGTGTCAGATAAAGGTGAATGACAGGAGGAGGAAATCCTTTTCCTTTCACTCATGTATTAACAAAGATTTAATGCAGAGTCCAATAATAATGTGTTGTGCTCCTAGACTAGACAAGCAAGTGAGTAAAGACCGAGCAATGTGACAGTATGTTGTATGAATGCTGTTGATTCTTTGTTTGTAAAAAAGAAGGGTGGTATAGTTTCGATTTAGTGTTAAATTTAAATTGTGCGTGCATACTTTCATCAGAACTTTGTACAGTGCTGGTCTGACCTGCTGTCTGAAGTCCAAGACCTGTTCTGGATTGTTTTCCACACTGGGGACAGGAGGAGCCTCCTGATGAAGCAGACTGACCCCAGTATGAGGCGATGCACGTTCTGCAGAACCGGTGTTCACAGCTGATAGAGACCGGATCCTTCAGGACGTCCTGACACAGAGCACAGCAGGGCAACATCTCCTCCACAGACACACCACTCCTCTTCCTCTTTCTGTTAGGAAGAAGACATATTTTCTAAACGAGGTCTTATGTTGATAACAGGTCAAAAGGTCAATACTGTTTAGAAGCTCAGATAGTCAAAGAGAACATTAAAAACTGAAGTTGTTTTCTATTCTATTTCAGGATTTTTGATATCTAACTTGGTGCTTATATAAGTCAAATACAAGCATGATGTGTTTTGTTAATGATTAAATTGATTAATGTGAATTATTATCTTAATATATATTTAATACGTATATTTCACTTGCATAACCAGGAGGTTAATAGTTTATAAGCAGGGCTGCAGGCGCACCGGGTCATTTGAAAAAAGGCGCATTTGTGTACCGACATCTCATCCTAATTTTCGGGCTTGATGTGACAATATTCATAATTAAGTAAATGTAACACCCTTTTCATCCCGGTTACACGTTTCATTTGCCCTGTACAATGGGCGCTGGAAGTGATGAAAATGGGGGATGTTGGCTTATCTGGCGCCCGCAGTTCTGAGCTCACAGTCAAAATGCGAGTGAGCGAGGGAGAGAGAGAGGGAGGGTGCACCGGTACCGGCGCTGTTGTTATTAGAATCTGGTGCTAGCTGCTCTAACGGATATAAGAAGAAGATGTTTCTACAATAATGTGGAGGGAGAGTCCTCTCCAGTCAGACTGAGAGAATGATAACTACAGCTCAGTGAGGTAAAGGACTCTGAGTGATTAGATAGTTCACTTTAGTCTAAGTTCAAACGGTTTGGTCACAATTTATGTAAACACATATAAGTCACTCCTTTATAATTATTGGGATAAACAGGTTTGAAATCATTCCAATGTATACTATAGGACAGTAACCAAAAATATCCTTTAAAACTGGAGAGATAAAAAAAAAATGCATAAATAAATAAATGTTAAGGTAAAATAAGATATGAATGAACAACACAAATAAAATAAGTTTCATTTGTTATTGGCTATGGTAGGTTATTGGTTATGTTCACATGCTTATTTGATTACATCCACTTGTCTAAGATGACAACAGAGACTTTCAACCCAAACCCAGCTGTTGACTTGTGGATGCAAGCAGCTAATCGCAGACTCAACCAGAGAGGAAGAAGTAGGCCTACATCATTAGCTACCATGTCTGAGAGGAAGACAGTGAGGAGAACAGTCAGGAGGGTAGTGATGACAGCTTGTATCGCCACGACAGCCTGGTCGTGCTAATGTTGTCTTGTGTTCGCCTCTGCATGTGTGTTCTGTGTTCACCTCTGCATGTGTGTTCTGTGTTCACCTCTGCATGTGTGTTCTGTGTTCACCTCTGCATGTGTGTTCTGTGTTCACCTCTGCATGTGTGTTCTGTGTTCACCTCTGCATTTGTGTTCAGTGCCGTGTGTCTGGCAAATAAAGTCAAGACCCCCTCAAAAGTTACGGTTTATTTCATTTTAAGGATGAGCACCAAGCAACATCTTCAGGTGCTCCTTTGAGAACCAGGGCAACAAAGTTATGTGCACCCCTGGTTATAAGACACTTTTTTTGGAATAAAAAAATAAATAATTAAGCATGTTCAGCTTTTATTTCATTAAAAAAAGGTCATAGTTTTGGTATAGCGTGTTGGACTGATCACATATTTTTGCAGGCCAATTCAGAAGTGAGCATTGTTAGGGCTCCCTTGACAAAAGTCAATGGAATTTTCCATTGAAGATCTTTGGCAAACACCGGTTAATATACTCATACATTTTGTTCTGCAGGATAATCTCTACATATATTTTATATAACCACTTTATGGCTTAATGATTAGCGACTTGTTAGCACCACTGTTTTCATGACGCAAAGACGCTTTGGATATTCACCAGTGTGGTATTTACTGCCATATTTTATGTCGTACAAAAATACTTATACATCTCTTAAGCTTGTTTTGACCACAGACCTTATTTCAGGTATCTAACCAAAATTGTTGATTGAGACCAGAGATACCGAAGTGTTAAAATGCCAACTCATTTCTGGATTTTAGGACTTTAGACTTTGTGACACCTCTGACAGCATGCGTAACCCTGCAAAAAACGTATGATTCTGTTTATGGTTCAAAATGAAAACAGTCTATTACTTTGAGTCTGAGGGTCCGGGTTCATTGCTGAAGTATGGAGGTGCTTCTTTGGAAAAGTCACTCTTCATAGACAGACAGCTGGGTGCTGGAGACTCTGCTCTCTCTCTGTTGTACAGACCTCTGGAAACACCAAGAAATATGAATAATAAATGTAAGATTAGAATACATGTTTTATTGATGACAAACAGCTGTCACATATAGCCTACCTAGAATAATGTTTCTTTGATGAAAGGTTTGTTACCTTTCAGTAGGCAAACACATTTTGTTAGAAAATACCAATATACATACAAAAATGTAAAATAAACATCGCATTGGCAAGGGTAACTTAAAATGAGTCGTACTTTGAGTCTGAGGGTCCGGGTTCATTGCTGAAGTATGGAGGGGCCTCTTTGGAAAAGTCACTCTTCATAGACAGACAGCTGGGGGCTGGAGACTCTGCTCTCTCTCTGTTGTACAGACCTCTGCACAATCAAGATGTATTTATTTCTATTGCATGAATCCATGTTCAACAATCTGATGTTGAAACCAGTTAAGTAACTTAAACACACAAATTACTGTTACTGTCAATAATAAGCAGGTTTTAAAAAATGGCATTAGTCCACTTCAGATTTGATTACAGCTTCTCTGTCTGACAGCTGCCACAGATACTAAGGAAGATGGCACGAACTATTTGGCTTTGTGACGCTTATGTTTGTTACATTTAGGATAGCAAATAGATAAAAACGTTAACATACAGACACATAAGACAGATAGCTGAATATGAGTGGACGTGCAGCAGTTATCTTACTTTGAGTCTGAGGGTCCGGGTTCATTGTTGAAGTATGGAGGGGCCTCTTTGGAAAAGTCACTCTTCATAGACAGACAGCTGGGTGCTGGAGACTCTGCTCTCTGTCTGCTGTACTGACCTCTGCAAACACCAATATGTTTTTAATTCATATTTCGTGAATACTTGATAAATGATCTGTCAAATCCATGAGGCAGCTCTCAACCATTAAAATGTAAAGCCAATAATAAGGAGGAGGAAAAAGAGTACGTGTCCATTAGATTAGATTACAACTTCTCTATGTGACTTTGATTTGTTTAATTATATTTTACATTTAAGTAAAAATGCTTGTATACAAACAGAAAATAAAAAACATTAGAAGAGGTATACAGTATAAAGACGTGTCTTACTTTGTGTCTAAGGGTCTGGGTTCATTATTGATGTAAGGAGGGTTTTCTTTAGAATCGTCACTGTTCATAGACAGACAGCTTGGTACTGGAGACACTGCTACATCCTCACTTTCCTCCTCACAATCACTCATTTGGTGATCTGGAGGCAGTCTGAGGGGTAAAGAAAATACAGACAAACTCTGTGAAATCATAACACAAGACAAACAAGTTTCTACATGAGTCACACTCAGTAACAGACATACACACACACACCCTGCTTTCTTGGGTTATGGCAGGTTTAATGCGCATTATTGAGACAACAACAACGTTGTGTGTGCAGATGACAGACTGTTGAGTTCATTCTAAAATGTCTTTCCTCCACAGTCCACACGGAAATCAACTAATAAAATGAACACTTACCCTGCCTGTGCTTCCATCGAAATGGAAACTTAACTCACTGAACATATCAGTGTCGGGTTCCTTTCTGTTGCTCTGTTGCTGGATCACATGGTGAGTGTTGCTCCTCCCCTCTCAATTTACAGGAAATCAAAGTCAGTGTGTTGTGCTCACAACCTCTGTATACATCCATGGGTCCTTCTCACTTCGGTTAAATTGGCTTCTCAATACTCAAATTTCCCCTCCTCGACTCCCCTCCTCGGTTCCCCTCCTCGGTTCCCCTCCTCGAGACTTAGACCCGCCCACAGGAGATGCGAGCGGAGGACCGAGGAGGGGAACCGAGGAGAGAGGAGGGGAAGCAGCAGACGTTTAAAGAAATGAGAACTCCTCTCCTCTGAGCGGTCATTTTAAAGAGACGTCCGTTCATTATTACGTGGCAACAGCTGCATCAGCTGTCGAGTGTTTTGTCATAGCGCTGTATCTCTGTTAGATCAGCTGAACATTGTTCCCCCACATATTTACTTTGAATTCATTGAGAGTGCGGTATAATGAGACAATAACAGGCTACAGATACGGACACACACACACAAATATATTTATATAAATATATACAATTTAAAGTATGAGAGCACTCTCATAATAACGTAACACAATCAGAGACTGGATATATCCCCCCCTCTCTCTGGTCGCTGAAATGGGGAATTGAAATTACGGGCCAAAAGTTGTATAAGTAGGCCTATTAAAAGTAAGCAGAGGACACCAAACCAACTGAGACCCGTCTGTCCGCCGCATTTACGTACTGTACAACACACACCTACACACTGTACAGTACCACACACACCTACACACTGTACCACACACACCTACAGCTCCAAAAGCATAAGCCGTTGTGTATTTTATTAAGTGAAGCAATGGTCTTAGAAAAATATCGACTCTATACTAAACTAAAGCAAATAAAGAGAATAGGCCTGTTATACTGAGTGATATATATTATACACCTCGACGCTCGATGCTCGGTCCTCGGTGTGCATTTAGAGAAATTAGACGTCCTTCAAAATGGCGCGCTGAAATTCATTTCCGGGTCACTACCGGAGGACCGAGGAGTCGAGGAGGGGAAATTTGAGTATTGAGAAGCCTCTCTTGTGTCCCTCACTTGCGTCGTTTCCCTGCGACTAGTCCCTCCCACCAGGGAAGCATGGAGAGACGCAAGATTACTTAGATTACTTTTGGATTACTTTCTGGAGACACAAAAAGCAAAAGGAAACTGCACGTCTTCTTACTGTTTTAATGGCTTATCAAGAGCACAACTGAAACATAACATCTGAAACGATGTAACAACATAATACACTTTTTGGGGATGCAGCTTGGGATGTGAGGAGTGAGGGACACGGCTTAGAACGGGCGTGTCGCCTTCTGTCCTGCCAGTGTTGGCAAGACATGAATTAAAATGTCGAACTCGGACTTCATTTTAAGGATATTTCGGCAAGAGGTGTAGAGCTATATTTGTTTAAGCACCGGATTGGCAAAACAGGAGAGTGTGTGCACCAGTCTGCCTTGATCTATGTATTCATGTCTGTGACACTCACAGTATCTGCTGCCCACAGCTGTTTTATAGAAGGAAAACCTCCTTCATTCATGAAATCTCTGCAGCACCAGGAGGCAGCGGGAGGGTTAACTCAGCCGAGAAGAGGAGCGCGCCTCGCAGTGCCTTTCACGCACCGCCTTTCACGCACCGCCTTCACTGTGTTTACCTTCAGAAATAATCATTAGTAAGGCTGAAGACTAAAGAGCGACCGCAGGCTGATGTGTTTTAACCACACACACCTACACACACACACACACACACACACACACACACACACACACACACACACACACACACACACACACACACACACACACACACACACACACCACACACACACACACACACACACACAGACACACACACACACACACACACACACACACACACACACACACACACACACACACACACACACACGCGATTTAAACGCAGACTTTTGTTCCTCCATGTTACGTTGTTATTGTTTCACTGAGCGAGCGGACCCGCGATTTTGTTTCAAACGCTTTTTTGGTCCATCTGCGGCGGTAATAGGTTTTGTGGGCTGTGATGATTCGGCTGTACCTACTATGAATATTAAATGTTGAGAGGAAATCTTTCCACCAATAATTCCAATAAGTAATCTAAAATGTATTCACTTCAGGTTTACGAAAGTAACTGTAATCAGATTACTCGTTTTTCAAATGTAACGCGAGCTGAATACAGTTACTTGATTTGTGTATTCTGATTACGTAACGCCGTTACATGTATTCCGTTACAACCCAACCCTGTTTGTAACTAAATGATACATGAATTGAAGCAAAACACGGTATAAACTGAGGAGTGACTCCCGTGAGGTTCATGTATTTTCTTCACTCCGCTGGGAAACTGCTCTCATGTCAAGAAGCATCAGATCAGTGCATGCGCTGCATCGTCCAATCAGTGAGCGATACACAGTAAGGGGCGGGGCGAGTGTCTGAGGATTTCATCGAAGGATGGTCTGGTGGTTCCTCGGTTATAGCTCCTCTATTATCGCTCCTCGGTCCTCCGGCAAAAATAAGGCCATTAGGACGCTACTCAAGATGGCGCAGACAAATCAATTTCCGGTGAGACCGAGACCGAGGAGCGAGGAAATGAAAAATAAGAGTAGTGAGAAGGGCCCCATGGCTCACAATGAACATATCAACTATATGTAATACTACACCTGAATTGTTTGTGTTATGTATTATTGTTTTCTGTTATGTATTATCTACTTATATTAAGGTGAATCAACATGTATTTTATGTAAGAGAGTGCTACAGCAGACATCAATGACATTCCCTGGTCAGCTGTAGTATCCAAATGAAGGACAAATCTCAGGGTGAAAGATATGTCCTGTAGCTTAAGGGTTAATCATAAATGTAACATCTATAGATTTACAGTGGTTGACGATTTATTAAGAGGCAGCAGATAAATTGGGTTTTGGCTATTAGTAGTAGAACTAGTATTACAGAATTAACAATGACAGCTGTAGAGGTGCAGTCCATGGTGGAAAATAACAAAGTATGTTTACTCAAGGACTGTATGTGTTACGTGCCGCAGTTGGTGCTTGTGTGTGTGTGCTTTTGTGTGTGTGTCTCTCTCTCCCTCTGATTGTCTCCAGGTGCAGCCTCTCCCCAGGTGCAGCCTCTCCCCAGGTGCAGCCTCTCCCCAGGTGCAGCCTCTCCCCAGGTGCAGCCTCTCCCCAGGTGCAGCCTCTCCCCAGGTGCAGCCTCTCCCCAGGTGCAGCCTCTCCCCAGGTGCAGCCTCTCCCCAGGTGCTCCCAATCCCAATCAGCGCCCCCATAAAGGACCCCCTTCGCCTCTGGCTGCATGTGTGCAGCCTGTGTTACGTGCTGTAGTGTAGTGTAGTGTAGTGTAGTGTAGTGTAGTGTAGTGTAGTGTAGTGTAGTGTAGTGTAGTGTAGTGTAGTGTAGTGTAGTGTAGTGTAGTGTAGTGTAGTGTAGTGTAGTGTAGTGTCTCTGTGTGAGGCCTAGTTGAACCTGTGTTCCGCTAATTGTTAGGAGATGTGTTCCAGTGTGTCTTTGTGTATTGTTTTATATTAGTCGCTTTCTTTTGAAAGAAAGTTGTCCTTAGTTAAGTTTGTTTTGCAATTTGGCTGGTGAGCCTCTTTACTTTTTTATGAATTAAAACCTCACTTTGTGGCTTCAGCCTTCAGTTTCCTCTCCTTTTTCTCTCGGCCGGTTATTTTGTGTGTGTTACTTCCCTTTGTACCCCTAGATTCAGAAGGGAACGTAACAGTATGTCATTTAAAATGTATTGTGTTTACAACTGTGCGACACAACAAGGCTGATTAATTTATAGAAAATATGTGCTTCTTAAATTCATAATTACAATATTGTTAAATGAAATACAATTGTGTTACATATTTCTCAAATGCTCAGTTCTAACTTACTAAAGTGATCTACTTAATGAATATTTGAATAGTGTCACTATGCAGCAGGTTAAAAGTCTTTGACAATTAAATATGAAACAGCTTTTCCAATTTCATTTGAATATGGTCATGTGGCTTTCATGTCATGTGAAACATGTTAATGATCATTTTTAAAGTCCCATGGGCTTCCATCATGTACGGCTTTCTTCTGTAACTGCTGGAAGCCAATCTTCACTTATAATCAAATGTATCTGACTCTATTTAATTTCTCCGTGACAGGTTTTTCTACACATTTTCTATTTTTAATTCCATACTATTTCAGACTCCAAATTTACAGACTTCTCGATTGATTTTTCAGAGTAAATTTGTCCAAGAGTACTAATACCTGCTTTATAGTGTTAACAAGAGGTTTTAAAATCCACCTCTTCACATGTAAGTTACATTCTGACTGTATGCTAATATGTTGCTAAATTGCCAGTTGTTGCTGTAGCTCATACAATTCGATGTACAACAAACTGTGACTGACCATTGGTGTTACCTATACAATACAAGCAAGAAGATTATTAATTAAATGTTTTAAGAAATAACACACATGGCCAGTTAAAGACTATTAGTTTAAGGATGTAAACATTTGTTATTGTACTCCTCCGAGTTGCACAGTGCATTCTGTAAAATGAAGGACATTGTTTCACGGTATACTGTAAAATGCGGTGCAGCTAAAGCCAGTAGCTATAACGCACTGACACCACAGGGGGGCGACATTACACCACACATGAGTTGACTTCACTCCCTAAAAACGAAACCAATGTGATAGGGCTGCAAAAAACAATTAATATAAATGTGTCTATGGAGAGTTTGGTAAATAAATGTCAGAAAATAGTACATTAGTTAATAATTAAAAGAAGAGTTAATGTCTGGGGGGAGTGTTTTTGACAACACGATAGGATGAAGCTATGCAAGCGCCTTTCTGCCAGAAAATGACGCTATGCGGCAAATTCAGCTGTATGCAAAAACATCTCTACACTATATTATCGTTATATTTTCCAATACGTTTCCAGAATTGGAATTCAAATCCATACATTTACTCAAGTCCTCCTCTACTAGAAAACAGAGAAGAACTTTCATTGTGTGTTGATGTTTGCGCTTCCTTTGGACGCAAACTGAATTGCTTCAGAGCACAAGAGTAAATTTAGAATAGATAATCTATTCGTTCGTTCTGGTTCTCTCGTGGCTCCCTTGCCCAAGCGGGCCCTGCAATACGGCCTGGGCCTCAGTAAGTTTAAGTTAGCATTTGACACTGGTTCAA